CATTTCTCTTCCTAGTGATATTACGTAATTGGGGAGCTAATACTTATACTTTAGATTTGTATATGTGTGTGTGTCTGTGTGTTTGTGTGACAGAAGACATTTGCAGCTCAACTTGAAGAGGTGTTAATTTTACGAGGTGTGCTTTGTGATAAAAGCTGCGAGGCGAGGAGCTGCAAATGTTTTTTTACCCTTTCACTGAGAAACCACAACGTCAGTGCACTTACCAAGATTGAGTGGTAGGGGATACTGCTGGCTTAAACATAAATGTGTAAATGGTTTGTGGTCATAAGGAGGAAGGAGTGGTTTGCCAAACATGTTCAGTGGGATTCTTTTAAACACTAGCTTTTGGTCAGGCTGAAAGGGAAACTCAAAGACGTAGTTTGACTGAATAAATGAGTACTTTAAGGGCTAAATGCTTCTCTAATGCTTCCTGTGCAAACATAAAGCACAAGCAAACTAAATAAATATGCACGTTTACTCATGTAAAAACAATAAATCACTTTATGTCTATAGATTTTTTGCCCAGAATGTGATTATAACTATTTAACATCTAACATTTCATCACTACTGTACTTTTCTGTGGTGCATGTCTCTGCTCTGAGGTTCAAAGAGACACGCAGTCCTCCATGGCAGTCTGCAAGGTCACTGAACCGGGATGTTTCCAAAGGGAGATACAGGGCCAGCAAGGGCAAATATAAAATGTTGAGGCAAAGGTGAGGAAGGTGCAGAACAGGCACATCTCTGTTCACTCAGAAGCTCAGGAAGAAAGGGAGACGGTGGGAAGAGAGACGTCTGAATCTGACAGCAGAGAGAGAATAGACAGATGTGTCTGGAGACACAGCGCTGATATTTCCATCTGGAGAGATTAAAGGTGCTCTTTTTGAGGAAAAAATGTTGGCCGTCCTGTCCCATCAGCGGAGTTCTGTCGCTGTGTGTGTGAGTGTAGGTGCGTGGGTTTGTGCATGAGCAATATGAATCCAGGACACCAGAGACAGGTGTGTTTCCATGAGTGAGGAATCTGCCAAAAGCTGCTCTCAATCATTATCTGTATCTCTTCTTATGTTCCTGTCCAACATTGTTGAGTGTTGACGTGTACGATGAAAGTTTCAGCAAAGTACAAAGAAATGTAACTTTTAAATTTATCACACCATGCTGGGTTTCACAGCAGATACAGTGACAATAGGAATGCAGGCTTTCCTCGTTTCTTTTCTCAAAAATCAACCAAATCTCTGTCCTTCCATCAAAGATATGATTATTTCCAAGCCTTTAAACTTGACTGAATAATGTTGTTTGATTATGTATGTTGCAATAAGCCCATTTAGGACGGTTGCATTTCTTCATCAGGTTTTAGGCTTCCTTCACGTGTTGTCACAATATAACGGTATTAAAGCTGGGGTAGGTAAGTTTGAGAAATCGGTTCGAGATATACTTTTTGTTATATTCCATGGAATGTTCTTAACATCCCGATAGCAATGAATATCTTAAGTGCTTTGACAAAAAATCCATTAAAAAATGTCATCTGTGGAAGCCGTAGTACTGTAAAAAGCACGACCAATCATCTCAGCCGGCCCGGCTAAAATAACTGGATGGCCTACCTGCCTGTCAGCCTTCCATCTGTGCACAAACTTATCTCGTGCCCTCATTGGTCATGTGCGCGTTCGTGTGTGTTGGAGGAGGGGCTCTGCAAGGAAGTGGCAGATTTTTTCCGGTTGTGTATTTTCAAATTCTAACGCACTTGAGCTGGTTTCTCCAAAATTACCTACCCCACCTTTAATTGTTAAAGGTCACATGTCATGCTTTTCCGGTTATTACCCATCCCCTTGTGTGTTATGAAGGTTTTTATGCATGTAAACGGTCTGCAGAGTCAAAACCCTCAAAGTACACCCTGTTGCGAGTAAAACTCAACACAGAAAATACCTCCCCAAAACGCCTCGTTGGTGAAACATCCATGGTGAAACGTCATCATCCATTTGATTCTTCCGGGTACGAGATTTCGAAAGCACGTACCCGGAACTAAATGGACCAATCCGTGGAGCCGTTACGTTACGTCCGCGGAGCCGTTACGTTAAGCCCCCTCTGATTGGTCCAAATTGACCAATCCACGGACTTCCTCACACACACACACAGTGCAGGCAGCTCTGCTGATCTCTCCTCCCTGGCTGCAGGCTTATAACAGACAGTTGGGATCGCGGCGAAATTCTCTCTGCAGACCCATTCTCACAGCGTTTATCAACCTTTTTCTTACTCAATATAAAGCCACACTTATTGTTTTTACTTCGGCTGTGACTTTGTGTGTGCTCAGGATGAGTTTGCCTGTGTTTCGCTGTGTATCGCTAAACAAGGAAACAACACCTCCACGGAGCTCAGCGCGATTCACAACGTCCCGACCAATCAGAGTACACTGTGCTCACAGGGAGGGTGGGGGCTGGAGCTATTGGAGCTACAACGAGCCGTTAAAGGCAGAGAGTGAAATTCAGTGAATACAAGTAGTTTACAGAGATGCTGTATGAGAAACCAATGTGAGTTTGGAAAATTGCACAATATAAATCTACTCTAGTAGACCTCAACAATGGAATTATGATCAGTGGAAATGGCCATGACATGTCTCCTTTAATGTGATACATATATAATAATATTGTGTAAATAATCCAATATTTAGGATCTGGCTTTGTCTCACTCCCAACCCCCAAACAAACAAATCATTTGCCAAAAAGAGAGAAAACACACAATAGAAAAGTTGAATTTAAATTCGACTAATAGCATTTGTATTTTGTGTTATCACGTTTTCCATAGATATAGTGATTGTTAATCTTGTGATGAAAATCTGTAATTGGGACATTTGAATGTGTTTAAAATTCCCTCACTACCTCCCTCCAATCATGTAATTCAGTCTATGGTAAATCAGAATTACAGAGGAAGCTGAGGTTCATTTACCATATTGTACTTTGGATAGTCTTATAGTTTTTCTTACACATTTGTTCAGGGGGTTGCCAGCTGCTGCGGTTTTAATGAGATTCTGGAGATCGCACCTTGTATAAATCGCAGTAGTCGACACCCAAGCTTTTACTGGGCGAAAGTTGACTCATCAAAAACCACATCTTACAGACACATGATGCCCATGAGTCCTCTCACACCGCACACCTGACAATTTACTGTGTTTGGTTTATGTATTATGAAAAAACGTATGTACATCTGGATGTAGTCGGGGAAACAGGGGGAAACACATGCACATACGTTACATTCAATGTAGACAACTTTGAGGTTTGCTTATTTTTGAGAGTGTCTGGGCCAGAGAGGACATGCTGAGAGCTCAGTGGTGTATGACCAGACACACATGATTTGGCAGCAGATGTTGAACAATTAGGATTCAGACCGCAGATATTTGTACATCCATTTCCCCCTGGGCTGTGGTCACATGGTTGATGTGTGGGCCTAAACTTGATTGACAGGACCTACTAAAGGTGATGGATGTAGTTTGAAAGTTTTACGATAGAGTAGATTATTTATTTTTCACTGTGCAACTGTTTAAGCTGAAATACTGTACAAAGATCATGGTCTGAACACATTTGGTAACACTTTTTTTTAAAGCAACACTAGCGGCATGTAGGGATGAAATACCTCCATGGATGGATTACTGAGTTTAATGGTCCCTAGATGATTAATCATGATGACTTTGGTGGTCCTCTGACTCTTTCTCTGGTGCCATCATCTGGTCAAGATGTTAATCGGTGGAAACTTTGGTTCATATAATTACTGGTAAAGCTAATGGCGTTCCCATAATATGTTCTTTGTGTTTAATGCTTATTGGTTAATTGGTTAACCTGCTAAACTAAGATGATATGCTGAACATGGTAACATAAGCATCAGCATATTAGCATTAACATTTTGAAAATGTAAGCACCTTGGCGTTATTTAGTTCAAAGAGTCAGTAACTCGTAAAACTGCTAGCATGGCCGTAGAGTCTTGTGTGAAATAAAAACGAAAAATGTAATTATACAAACCAGGCAAATATCAGAGCAATACAAAGCAAATGTAACATTTGTGCACACTTATCGGATTATTGCTCTTCAGAAACAGTTTCAGCTTGTTTTCCAAGTTGTTATCCATAATTGCACAAATATATGTTAATTGAACATGACACTGCTTTTCTTTTGTCTTCAAGTTATGTGTGTATTTTCCTGCCTTATGAACAAACAAAGTATGGAGTGTGTGTGTGAACTGAATGGGTGATATCTGAAATTGTAGAACATGGTTGCTGTTCCTGATTGTCATTCTTGTCATTAGAAAGACATCAATGAACAAGATGAATTGTTTTTTACACAAACATGCACAAAATTACACTTTAAATCTCACAAACACCTGACTTCATGTCTGGCATCATTAAGGATGACACTCACGTTTTTAAAAGGAAAGTTAATTTGGCATAATAGACTTCTTTATAGTCTCATTGGTTTAAATGCATGCTTCATTTAAAACATGGAAACTTGTTATCTAATGTTTGATTCAGATGTCTGAAAGTGGCCATGCTGTGTGAACAAGTCACTCTGGACTGGAGGCAACACTTATGTAGAATAACGTGTTGGAGAAAAGCTCAGCAGGTAAGGACAGGAGGTGTTTCCATCAATCAGCGGTCTCCATGACATCGTAACGGTGTTGCTATGTGGCGCTGAACAGACCCCCGTTGTACGGCCCCTCTGATCTGTGGCCGTAAAAGTCTGTCGGAATATTTCCAACCCCTTAAAAAACACATACATACATACATACATACATACATACATACATACATACATACATACATACATACATACATACATACATACATACACATACATACATACAGACACACACACACACACACACACACACACACACACACACACACACACACACACACACACACACACACACACACACACACACACACATACCGACACCATGCTGGGACGTTCCAAAGAAGCAGTAAAACTGTCCTATTTATGTTCTTAAGCTTTTAATGTATTGTATATAAATAAATGGTAATGTAAGGTTAAATATTACGCATCACTGAAATCCATCATCATGTATTCTCAAATGTAACTTTTCATATTTACATGTTCAGTTAATTCTGTAAATATGTGTTATGCAAGTCAGATAAAATCCTAATTATACAATGTACAGGAGTGTAAATCTGAAAAGTCTGAAATGAACCCCGAGCTGGTCAAATGTTCATAAACAATGTTTATTGAGCATAGACATACATTACAATATTGATTTGGATAGATTTATAGATCAAAAGGGATTTTGATAATAATGTCATCCTGTCAATAAGGGAAAGTTTAGCTCCTTTTTCCACAAACATTGTTGCCTTGAAATGCTTTTGTTCAGTTTCTGTACTTGATGGCAAAAATGTGTCTGAATATTTTAACCTGAAAAATGCTTTAGGATCAGAGAACCTTTTTTTTCTATAACCCTCACCTGTTAGAAGCATTTCATTCGTACCCTACAAGTGTATAGTGTCAATAACTATTACTGAAATCAGTTCTAAATTAGCAGTATACTGGTGATAAATATTAATTTAAAGTGGTTTGAGCATTTAATCTCATCACTATGTTAACCTTTCATTTGCTAAATTATGGCATTACCTATTTGTGTTTGAAAAAAAGAAACATCATCAGTCCTTCACACACAATCTTTTGGATCAAAGCATTATACATTTTTACCTTTTTCTTTATTTTCATTACCCTTTTTTTCCTACCATCTCCTAATAGTAATTGTTTTCCTACTACTGTCAGTTGTGGGAACTTTAACACAGAAAAAAAAAAGTTTGATACTCAGGTTGTCACACATCAACTAATTTCCTTCACTTCTCTATTGTCTATCAACCTCATAATGTTGATTATTCACACAAAGCTTATTCCCAGTGGGCAAACATAGGTCCCAGTTCTTATTGGGAAAAGCAGCATTCCTCCACGGCCTTTGGCATGTCTGGCTCCTGTCACTGTGGAAACAAGCTGGGCTTATTTGAAAGGCCAGCTCTCATCGGGGGAGACAGTGGCACGGCCATGTCAAAATCACCAGTCCAATGAGAAAAGGTCAAAGGGCGGAAAAGATCCAAAGAGCCAGTGATGGAGTGGACACTTAGGATGCGGTTCAGGATGCAAATTAGAAGAACCACGGATGAGCTGGCTGTAATAAAATGAGTGTGTCAGGAGATGCAAGACTGGGATGGAAATGGCACTTATAAAGAAAAACTGAACCGTAACCACTCAGAGGAGCAGCTTATGGTGAGGTATTCACTGGCTTTGGAGCCAAGGAAAACCTCTTTGACTCTCTCTGTTACTGTCCATTTAAAGCAGACCACAACTTTTGGACCGCAACTTTTTTTTAATATATAATGTATATTTGAGACTTGGGGACTTCCTTAAACTTCTGACAGACATCTATAGGTTGCTTTAGATATTCCTCATGAAATACTCTAACCGCCTTCCTGTGTCACATTCCGACTTTTGTGTCGTTATTGAGATTTCTTTCTTTTTTTTGCCTTTTTTCTGACTAAATATGTTGCACTAATGTACGAAGAACAAGAATGTTCCTATTAATACCAGCAGGAGTGGTGTGTGCACACCAGTGAGTTAACTGGAAGGTGGTAGAATTACTTCACATACTTACATAAAAAGAGCAAAAAAAGCAGTGTGTCTGAATACATGTAAATACAAATGTTTCAATATCACATTATTTTTTAGACAGTGTGACAGATTAATTAGTGCACTGGTACTTTAGTATATCTTTAAGTGTATATTTATAGTGTATTGATAACAGGACATCTTTCAAAAAATAAATATGTGACTCTTTGTGTGTCTCCCCCTTCTGGACTACAGGAGATTCATTTTATTCCAGCCTATTCTGTCAGATGAACTTTAATGTAGGGCCAAAATTGAAATTAACACACATTTCAAAGTATCCTTCTCAGATACAATCGGTTTTAACCTTTTAACAGTAACATACACAACCCCTAATATGTTTACTAAAATAACTAGTAAACATTAAGAGTTCAATCAATCCTACCACAAACTATTAAGCAGAAAAATACATTTAAAACTTTCAGGTTTATGTCTGCTTGTGACAATATTAGATAGAGTGGATGACACAATGACATACAGTATAAGTGCAACCGACTGCAAATACTGGTCACAAGTCAGTGCAGCGCCAATGTAAATCCAGCAGAGGGAGACCAAAATCCTACTTTGGCAAATGAGGTTCTCAAGAAGTGCTAAACCGATACTATACCAATGTTTGATCGAAATACTTAGTAAAGTACATGAAATGCAGATCCCTCACTCACCTCGTCTTGTCTTCCTTCCATACAGGCCTTGGCCATGCCTCCCCTCCCTTTCTTTCTGACACTGCTACAGCTCGCAGTACTTACTTGTGTGACTGCTGGGGCATACTATGGACACAAGCAACACCCTCAGCAATACCAGCCGGTGCAACACCACCAACAAATGGGCAAAGAAGGCTTTCCCCAACAACAGTACCTTGGCAAAGAGGTGCCGTATATGCAGTATCCCCACTACAGGAAGGAGATTCCCCAGATGCCCATGCACAAGGGCAAAGGCAATGCTCATAAAGGAGACGGCTATAATGGGGGCCAAGACAAAGGTGAGAAAATCAACATTTTTACACCCAGTAACCAACAAACTTCCAAAAATATAAATCAGTCTCATCTTGGACAAATGTGACACTACCTGCCAATGAACATTAATGGCACAAAACATCTTTTTTTTATTGAACCATTGTTGTGTTTTTCTATTTCAACTGAGTGTCCATGTCATGTTCATGTATGCCCTGGCTTAACAATCAAAGCATTGCCTATATATTATCAAATCAATAATTTCCTGTTGAATATTTATCCAGGTCAGACAATCCTTAGTGGCGCTGAGGGGATTCCCCAAGGAGAGCCTGGCCCAGCCGGGCCACCTGGAGCTGAGGGACCCGAAGGACCTCCTGGAGCTTCAGGGAATGGACAGCCCGGACCCGAGGGACGACCAGGACCACTAGGTCCACCAGGTGGGCCTGGAATTGGAAAACCAGGTTTGCCAGGACTTGCAGGCAAGCCAGGAGGAAGTGGTGAGCCTGGACCACAAGGAGAAATGGGCCCTAGGGGTGAGGAAGGGCCAGCTGGGCAGACAGGGCCTCAGGGTCCCCCAGGACCACCTGGGCTGCCAGGAATAGGTAAACCAGGGGGACAGGGATTACCTGGCCAACCAGGTCTCAAGGGAGAGCCAGGTCACAAAGGGTTGCCAGGACTACCAGGATTACCGGGACCCAAAGGAGACAAAGGGATAGGCCAGCCAGGACAACCTGGTCACAAAGGGCTCCCAGGGACCCAAGGACCTGCTGGCCCAAGAGGGCTGCCTGGTTTTGGAAAACCCGGTTTGAATGGGGCACCAGGGCCACTCGGACCATCAGGAGATAAAGGTCATCCTGGGGAGCTAGGACCAGCTGGGCCACCTGGGAAAGGAGGACAGCCTGGCCCACCAGGTCTACCGGGTCAGGGAAAACCAGGTCAAAATGGCCTGCCAGGACAGCCAGGCATGCCAGGTGGGAAAGGTCATCCAGGACCACCAGGTCTGCCAGGAAAGCCCGGACTTCCTGGATTTGGTAAACCAGGGTTCCTAGGACCAAAAGGTGATAAAGGTATGGGTGGACAACCTGGACCTTCAGGACCAAAAGGAGATAAAGGCTACGGGGGCCTGCCTGGTATGCTTGGACCACCTGGACCAAATGGTCCACCAGGTCCTACTGGCCCTCTGGGAACCCCAGGTGGTTTAGGTGCACCTGGTCCTAAAGGAGATTGTGGAGAAGTAGGACCTAACGGGCTTGGAGGAGACCAGGGTAACCCTGGTGCCTCTGGGATACCTGGTAAGGATGGTCTACCTGGAGATCGTGGAGAGCCAGGACCAAGAGGTCCACCAGGACCGGGTGGAACGAAAGGAGATGGAGGGCATAAAGGTCTACCTGGTAAGCCTGGATCTCCAGGACTTCCCGGGCCAAAAGGACAAGGTGGATTACCTGGTGCACTGGGACCTCAAGGTCCTAAAGGAATCCCTGGAATGGATGGCACTGTAGGACCAATTGGGCCTTCTGGTCTCCCAGGTTCAAAAGGAGATGGCGGTGTTCCTGGTCCACCAGGCATTGCAGGTGAGGGAAATTCAGGTCTTCCTGGTCCCATAGGACCCCAAGGGAAAGAGGGGCCATCAGGGCCAGCTGGACAACGTGGTCAGCCTGGCCTCCCTGGACCACCAGGCCCAACTGGTGCATCGGGTCTGTCCCCTGAGTTCGCTGGAGTGCTCTCTCAAATGGGCCCTGAACTAGATGGTGTTAAGACTGGCGGCTATGGAAAGAAGGGAAAGTATGGAGGCAACGGGGCAGAAGCAATGGGGGCCAGTGGGCTGGAAATGCCAGCGTTCACAGCTGTAATAACCACTCCCTTTCCACCTGTGGGCACTCCAGTCGTCTTCGACAAGCTCTTGTACAATGGTCGCCAAAACTACAACCCAGAAACAGGAATCTTCACCTGTGACATGCCCGGCATTTATTACTTTGCCTACCACGTTCATTGCAAAGGAGCTAATGTCTGGGTGGCTTTGATGAGGAACAATGAGCCAGTGATGTATACATATGATGAATACAAAAAGGGTTTCTTAGATCAAGCATCAGGAAGTGCAGTACTACCTCTACAACCGGGGGACACTGTGTATATTCAGCTGCCCTCAGATCAGGCCTCAGGACTTTATGCTGGACAGTATGTGCACTCCTCATTCTCTGGATATTTGTTATATCCAATGTGAAACCACAAACTACAGAGATAGAGGTACTTCTATGAGATCAAAGTGGGAGCCTATTTTGTATAATATAAACATTATTATAAACCACCAAAGACTTAGCAGTCTTATATAATGGTAAGTCAACAAAGTATTGATCTCATCAGCAGAGATGAGAGGACAAATCAGAAGCCTGAAGGTTTGTATGTGCAGCAGCTGTTATACTTTATAGCCTTATAGCAACATAATTTGGAGAGTAATGTTTCTTTCTTTTACAGCTTTGAAAATATAATAGAATATATAAAAAGGCATTAAAAGAAGAGAAAAAAAACGATTTGCATTTTGTACAAACATATGAAAGGGAAGAAGGGTACATGTGAAGTGTATGCAAAATAAAACTAAAACAAACCAATTCTAGTTACGCAAAGCCACATTTTGCTCCTGCACCTCTTCAAAACTGGCAGCTACCCATTGTGGTGACGAATGTGAAAATATTTCAAAACATGATGGTTTATTCATTACAGTACAACATTTAAAGCGTGCATGCATTCATAATAAATATAAATGTATGATAATTGCAAGCATCTGAAATGATTTATAGGAAATGAAAAAGTAAAGTGTTTACATTAAACCATTTTGTATAGGTTTTGGAGGTAAACACATTTGTGGTCATAACCAGCAATTCAGATTTTTCATGGACCAATCTCTTAATCCCCCATGTGGATTACCAAAAATAATTACATTTGCAAATTACAATGTGGGAGCAACCTATATGACTTGTATAAGCCTCAGCATAATAGGGCCGACTGGTATTGGTGGTGAATTATTTTATGGCAAAAAATATGCTCACCCATGATATATGTGGCTGACTGACAATTGCTCCCATGAGTGAGATTCAATAGGTAAGAATGTAATATTGATCTTATGTTTTAGTTTTTACTTACAGGTATATGGGTGTAAAGAAACAAAATGTGTGTGCAAAAGTGCAAAGGTCAAACTAACATACCATATTGCCCTGGCCTATGAAAACCACTCCATATGCTATATATTAAAGACGACAAAAAAACGTATACGGCTTATATGTGTCATTCGGTTACCAACATGATCAAATAACTCTGCATTTAGGTTTCTTTCAGAGCGAAATCATGTTGGGAATAAATTCAAATGAACTATATTCTTACTTACTCTTTTTATTTAAAATTAAACTGATTGTATTTTGTAACTGTTTTGTAAGATTAATCATTTTTTAGTTGTAACAGCACCCTTGGTGAGCTTCATTTGGTACGTCTTGCTGCCAGGTTTAAAGAAAATACAAATACATTTTTATCACAATTAACTCAAAGCAAGTGTTGAATGTCGCAGCAATTCATAAGAATGGTTATGTCAATAATTTATTATTTAATCTGCCGATCCCTTGCATGCTATGACAAGGACAAAATGCATGACAACTTTTAAAGGAAAACTAAATGTATATTTCTTATTTTATCACGGTGCTAATATTGTCGTTGTAACCAAAGATTTAATGTCTTAATTTTTTCACTTTTGTTATCGCGTGTTTTGTTACCATGTTGTTTTTCTAAATAAAAATGTTTAAATAAAAAGAATATATGGTTGAAATGTTTTTGCTCAATGTAAGAATTAACAAGTAACTAAACATTTCAAATAAATGTAGTGGAGTAAAAGGTACAACATTTGCCAAAAAAAATGTATGAAGTAAAAGTATAAAGTATCGTAATATGAAAATACCCAAGTAAAGTACAAGTACCACATTTTTTTTGTGTAAATGTACTTTGTTACCAGAGTTGGGAGCCATACTCAGATCTTGTAGTAAAAGTAGAAAATGTGTAGAAATACTGTTACAAGTAAAAGTCCTGCAATTAAAATTTTATTTAAATAAATTACCAAAGTATTAGCATCAAAATAGTAAAGTACCAAATGTAAAAATACTCATTATGCAAATTGGCCCATTCCATAATAATATACATTATATGTTTTGATTATTATTATTGATTCATTAATGTGTTTATTAAAGCTCGTAAAGGTGCAGCTAGTTTTAATTACTTTGTATGCTGCAGGGTAGCTTGTGAATTTACTCCAGGTGTAACTATAGGCTTACCTAAGTGTTCATTATATTTCCTATCATTAATCCAAATCTGCAAAGTAACTTCAGTTATTAAATAAATTAAAAGTAAAAGTACGCGATTTACGTCTAAGATGTAGTGGAGTAGCAAAAATTGAAATTCTCAAGTAAAGTACAAGTACCACAAACGTGTGCTAATGTACAGTACTTTTGTAATGTAAATCTACTTAGTTACTTCCCATTACTGGTAACAGCTGTGAGACGAGATGCTGATGCTGCGGGGGGAGTTAATCGACTACAGCGCATGCGCAGTGGGGTTTGCAACATCTGTCACCACATCTTTTGTTAGTCCAGATTCATTCAACGAGCTCTTCCAAACCTTCCGGAAATACGCAGCAGTAAGGGTAAGCATTGTTAGCTTTTAAGATTTGAAATGGTGTCACACTGTGTTGTTTTTGCTAAATATAGAAACAAGCCAGTCGTAAGCTACAAAGCGTAACTAGATCTGTTAAAAGGTTATGCTGAATTAGGTTAGCTAGCAACAGCAGCTAACACGCTAGCCTGCTTTGATATAACAGCCCAACTAATCTGCCTCTAATTACTCTTGTTTTTTTTAATAGCTGGTAGCACTTTGTTATTAGAAAATCAGATTGGTCTCACGTACTATGTGGTTGATTTGATGTCATTTCTAACTTGATTTTCTCTTCTGATAGCATCGTGTCTGTGTTGTAACACCTGCCATTTAATCCAGTCTCATGATGTAGTTAAAATGAGCAGGCTAACAGTATACAATGTTAGGTTTGGGTCTAAAGCAAATACTGGAATCATTAAATAGTCAAATAAACTATCTTGATAATTGGTCGTTTGGGCTGAGTCATTTTCAAGCCAAACGTCTAATCCAGCTTCCTGTTGTGAGGATTTGCAGATGTATTAATATAAACGATATACATTTGAATATCTTCAAAATATATTTGCTTTGGGCCTCTGTAAAAAACAAGCACCTTGTTGATATCACTTTGTAATTTATGAGATTGTCATGGGTTTTTTCATATTATTTTCAAACATAATATGGAACAAATAATTTAAAAAAAATGATTGTTGGTTTAGGTCTGTCAAGTGTTGGTTGCTGAAATAAAATGTGTTTTGTCTTTAGGTTTGCCTCAAAATGACATCACGTGCTGGTCTCAGACCAGGTGGCACCAATGGAAGTGAATTCAAGTACAAAGAGAGGGTGTCGGTCCCACAATACCAGATGAGGCAAGTACCTGTCATGTATTTCTGATAGTGACAGTAACAACAAGTATGGCTAACACCTTGTTTATCTGTTATCGGTTTTACAGTGTTCCCATGAAGTCAGAGGTGCGGAAGTTAAACCTGGTCCATTTCCTGCTCTGGCTGCTGGTGGCGGCACAAGTGACTGTCAGCCACTTCAACCTAGTGTCCCATGACATAGTGTCCATGCCGTACCAGTGGGAGTACCCCTACCTGCTCAGCCTCCTGCCTCTGTTCTGCAGTGCCCTATCCCTTCCAAAGAACAATATAAGTTACCTGGTCTTATCCATGATCAGCGCAGGGCTGTTCTCTGTGGCACCACTCATTTACGGTGGAATGGAGATGTTTCCTGTGGCACAGCAGCTCTACCGCCATGGAAAGGCCTACCGCTTCATTTTCGGCTTCTCTGCAGTGACTGTTATGTATCTCATCATGGTGGTTGCTGTTCAAGTACACGGCTGGCAGTTATATTACATGAAGAAGCTGTTAGACTCTTGGTTTGACTCCACTCAGGAGAAGAAGAAGAAATAATCGATTGAAAAAGCTGTGACTGGGAAAAAACTGTGTTTTTAACTTAATTTATGAATCTTATTTAAGTCTATTTATAATTAATTAATTTAATGAAACAAGGTACATTAGAAACCAGTTTCTTCTGTACAGGAACCTGGCTTATTTATTATTTGTTAAAACTTGTTTTATTTTTGTTCATCATAATTTATTTTGAGTGGCAAGAAGACACAATCAGGCGTGGCATCAAAGCAACACCCATAAACATAGAATGCCATCTACTTTTCCCACTTCATCATCAGCTTGAATCTAAACTAAGAAACTGGTCAATTAGGAAAAGGAATGTTAAGTAATCATTCTCAAAATTATGTGAAGTCTGAAGTGAATTCAAGAATTGCAACTGGGAGTGAGACATGTTTTGTATACCATTTACAGAGCCAGGGCTGTGTACAAACACCAGATTTGTTTTCAGCACACACTGAATATATATTTCTAGCAAGGAGGAGGTTTTTGCTGAATTTGACAAAAATATATTGGATTAGAATTGCTGACTCTACCTTTAAAGGAACTAGGTTTATTGCTACAGATGTGCTGATGCTGTTTCTTCTGTAAGTCTACCTCTCATATTACCTCCTTTCCAGAATCTATTTCAGCTATTAAAACATAGAGATGGTGATAAGAATAGCTGCCTGTACTGATATATTTTCATGTTTTCTCATTCAGCATCAAAGACAGCACATTACTCCTGTGTTTCAGAATAAAATATGCATTATAAAGCGTGTTACTGGATATCTTTTTCAAGAAATGTCTCCTTAACAAACTGCCCGTTTATTCAGTGTATTATTGAGGATGTTGGAGAGAATCTCCACAGAAGTGTGTGTGATGGTTTGCTGCAAACACTAAACCAGTGTTCTTTTTTATTACATTTCTTTGTGCACGTTATTTTTCAGAACATGTATAAGTTATACTTTTAAAAAGTGGTGGGTACAAAATTGGCCTTTTCAAAAAGTTGTGGGGACATGTCCCCAGCGTCCCCAGTGCACCTTTGTAGGCTACTTAAGTACTGTACTTGAGTGATGTACTTAGTTACTTTACACCAGTGGTGTAACACACTTAAAACTAAGAAGACTTTAGTTACACCAGGAGTAACATTAACTAGCTACCCTGCAGCATACTAAGTAATTAAAACTAACTGCACCTTTACCAGCTTTGATAAATACATTAATGCATCAATCAGTATTATCAAAATATAAAATATATCATTTTGAATTGAGTACATTTGCATAATGAGTACTTTATTTTGGTACTTTAAGTATATTTTGATGCTAATACTTTTGTACATACATCTGTAACATTTTTTTACTTTTACTTGTAACAGAGTATTCCTACACTATGGTACTTCCACTTTTACTTAAGTACAAGATCTGAGTACTTTCCCAGCTCTGCTTTACAGCACTGAACATATTTACAATTAGGTGATTCAATCACAGGCACAGTATCTGGTCACCACGGTCACAACGCACTTTGATCCAGATCATCTGCGCATGCGCATGATGAATGCCACGTACTGGTTGACGTTGACAGTCTTGGAGGCTTGGACACTTCCTGATGCTGGTACCCGGGTCTAGCTAGGCTAGCTAAAATATATTAATTTCAGGGTTTAGGGAAACCTTTGAAACACAGCGCGGCCAAGTCGTCTGATTCAGGTAAAATACCTTCTTGTGTTTATGGTTCAGGCATGTTATGAAGTAGTTTAAACCACACAGCAGTTCCCATCCTTTCTCTGTTTGAGTGGTCTGTTGCTAGCAAGCTAGCTATGTGGTTAGCTTGATAGCTAGCAACTACTAATGTTAATTTAGCTACGCAGCGAGCTAACGCTTAGGCATCTCGCCCAAACAGGTGCCGAGTCTTATTCATAGGAAGTTACATACGAAAATAACTGACACTGGCTTTTTTTTCTATTCTTACGAAAGACAAAGTTGTTATTTTACTTTGTTGAAAAATATGCCGGTTTACCTAACGTTAGCTCAGAGTGCCATTTAAAGGTAGCAAGTTACCCAGGAAACAGCTTGATGCCGACCGATTACTAGAAAGTGAAAGTAATGATAGTTATTTTACTGCAATGAAATGAAATATTAAATATACTATTGCTTTTAACTCCGCATTTACAGTTTTTAATGACACCATTGACAGGGCAGTGATGAAACGGCCTAGTTAGCATTCACTGGTTATGTTTATGGGCCACTGACAGATGACTCTGCGAATGAGCGTCTGTTACCATCAGCTTTAGCCGCACTTCAGTGACAATTTTAACGTTTAAATCAGATCTAAAGTTACCAAACGTTGTCATCAACATTTGGTATAGCCACTTTTGGTAGAAACCAGTTTGTCGTTCCCCCATTTAACATAACTGTATGCTAAATGTTAGCTACCACACAATCCCTAGCATCCGGCTAATTATTCATCTGGCTAGCAGAGTGAAAGCCGTAGCATCTCTGGAATTAAATTCACTGTTTATTGTCCAGCCTTGAACCTAAGTACCAAACATCATAGTAAATCCAACTGCTCACTACATATCAGTTGAAGAAGTACTCAGATTTGTAAGTGAAATAAGCAATACTACATTCGCGTCGTTCTTTATTACAAGTAAGAAGCCCTGAATTCAAAAATATTGCCTAAGTACAAAAGTATCAGCATCAAAATATACTTAAAGTATCAAGAATAAAGGTGCTCCTAATCATCTATATATTATATAGGTTACTTATATGATTATGAATGTGTTTTTATCATAGCTGGTACATTTGGAGCTTATTTAAATAGCTGTATACTGCTGCTGGATATCCTAACCTATAAATATAACTTATAAATAATTTAATGTATATTTATATTTTGTATAAGCTAATAGTATAAATCTAAAAAGTAACTAAAGCTGTCAAATAAATGTAGTGGACTAAAAAGTACAATATTGGCTTCTAAAATGCAGTGGAGTAGAAGTATAAAGTAGCATATACTGAAAATACTCAGGTAAGGTAAAAGTACTTCAAAATTGTACTTAAATGCACTTTGTTATTATCCACCACTGCTACACACGATCACTGAGAGACGTTCATTGATCACAAGCTGTTTAGGCTCGACTAGCTGAATGTGAAACTGCATATGTTGGATTGCATAACAAACTTAATCTGTGTGTTTCACCTATTTTGCTTGTAAATGTTCAAATGATGTCTTTCGAAAAGATCCAATACTCATAGTTGAAAGCTGTGATTATCTTATCAAACTGGTTAATATTTTGGGTCAAAGTCTGTAATATCATAGTTATCTTTGCCACCTCACAGGGTGATGTTTGACCCTTAGACCCTGCAGTACAAGGACACTGTGTGATGTTGTTACTGCATATGAATACTCTTGATTGGATTCAATTATGTATAAACAAACTTTAGAAATCACATCACTGCCCGTTAGAGAGATAGACGGTTTGTTAAAGATTGAGTTAGACTATTAAAATTAAATGTTTAGTAGACAGAAGTTCTCTTTCTCCCTTGATTTCTGTTCAGAGAGATAAGACCACAAATAGGATCTGCTAATTTGAACATGATTCCATATCCCTTGCCAATGTAACAATCGCCTTTTTAAATAGAAACCACTTTCAACAACCACTTTGCCTACCCTGATAACACAGACCCAGTGCTTTCTAAGCCCTCTAGTTGAATATAATGATCATTCTGATGTTATTTTATTTCGTGCACAAGTGAGATCTTTCAATACTAAGCAGAGTGAGTCATTCTTTTAACCTTAACCCTGCAGTTCTAGTGGGGTTCAGCATTACACTATTGTCCGTTAACACTGATGCTGTTGATGACTTTAGTTTTTGGTAACCTTCAATCAACTTTATGAATAAAAACCGTACTTCTTTAATAGTCAACAAATAATCAAAGTCAGTCCAACTTAGCTGTTCCCAAAATGTCATTCTCGCTTCCATTAAGCATTGAGAAAGTAGACAAGACGCTAGGACATCAGGCTTGTTGTTTAGTAAGTTGTCTACCTTTCCTCTGACCCTGTTAGTGGTGGGAGCAGAAGAGGTCGGACGGCACCATGAACGGCCAGCTGGACCTAAGCGGGAAGCTGATCATTAAAGCCCAGTTGGGCGATGACATCAGACGCATCCCAATCCACAACGAAGACATTACTTACGACGAGCTAGTGCTGATGATGCAACGTGTCTTCAGGGGAAAGCTGCAGAGTAACGACGAGGTTACCATCAAATACAAGGATGAAGGTGAGTCAGGACATCCAGGGCCATTTGTCCTCATTGGTCTCAAGGGTCACAAGTGTGATTGTTGACGTTTTCCTCTTATTTTTAAAACCAAGTTTATGTGACTGTTACTGATAACTTGACGACGTAATCTTTATTTTTGGCAGAGATAATCATCGTTTCTTTCATTTCCCTCTTTCTAGATGATGACCTCATCACCATTTTTGACAGCTCCGACCTCTCCTTCGCCATCCAGTGCAGTAGAATACTCAAACTGACTTTGTTTGGTAAGATATGAAAGCATTTTCTCTTACCGATCAAAAGACATCCGCCCGCGCGTTGTGTGTGAACTTCTCCTTAAGGAATCGAAACTTCAAGCCTCTGGATTTCTTAAATCATGTGAAACCGTAATAATGATCAATTGTAGATCAAGATGTCTTTAATCAGCTGTTACCTCAACCAGTCACTGGAGGGCAGTCCAGCTTAGGTTTCAAACAACAAACCTCAGCTCTTCTCTGACTGAAGGAAAGTTGTCTTCACTCCCTTCCTAATCATTTGGGTTGGACATTTCTGTACGTTTCTTAGCACCTGTCGAGCAAGCAAAGAACATGACAGGCAGAAGATGGTTGTTTTCCAGTTATATTGGTTCCTGACTGACATTTTAAATATGCACCAGGCCAGCTGACATGGGCATGAGAAGAATTAATCATATTTACCAAACAACCGCTTAGCCCCGCCCTAACATGTCAGGTTAACACCTGTTTTCTTTTTAAAGTAATAACACGTTGCATTAGGTGTTACACAGTTAATAATACTTGATCTACAATATGATTTTGATTGTTGTATGAATAGGAATACTTGAACAAATAAGGTGCGCCTGGTAAATAGATGTCATATATGGCAAATCTATATGCAGCTTTATAAGTAAATTGTGTTTTCTGTCTGTTTTTTTTTAACCTTAATATTAACTGGATCTGAAGGTGAAGTATATTCCACCCATTTATTTAAGCTATTTATCCGTAGGGTCGCAGGTGGCTGAAGCACATCCCAATTATACTGATCAAACAAGCCATCTGTGACTGTTTTCTTTCAATCCATTCTCTTCAATACTGGCCAACTTCAGGCCATAATCACTTCTTCATCTGATTCTGTAAATGACAAAAAACAACTTGTTGTTTTCCCTGATTATGTCTCCCGGCTCCCATTTCATATTACATGTGTTTTGTATTCATGTTCATGAATTACTCGATTTCCTGTGAATCATTTTAAAAACAGGATTATTTCCCCAGTGTTTGACTTTTGGAAAGCCTAGAATCTGATTGTGTTCCTTCCTGCACGGAAATATTGTGGTAGAGAATAACCAGTCGAGGAATATACGCAGGAAAGTAAACTTTTAAGATAACGATTCAACAGAATATTGATATCAGCTACGGGAAAAAAAGACTTGAAAGTCATAGCACACCATGTACTTGTTTTTAGAAATGTTATAATGTTGACTCATTTTTAAACTCAAAAGTTAAATGTGCACTCCCTCTACTCTGGGATATAATGGCAACATGATGTTGTTTCCTGTTCTCTGCTTCCCGTCAGTTTGTTCTCCTGTAATTGCAATTATAAGAGGTTAATCTGCAAGATTTCAGCTTTTATTTCAAAAACAAACATGCATAATAACCTCATGTGGAATGAATTTTCTTCGACGGGTCGAAATGCAAAACAAGGAAGAGTAGCCAGAGTCTTGTGGCAGCCTGTGTCTCACAGAGGAACTCATGACCCACTGCCTCCCTGCTCAGCATTATCCTCTCGTAACACAGACACTTACGTGAGAGAAGAATGTCCGGCGGTCACTAATCTCAAAATCCTTCTTGGACATTACACTCCCCAGTCACTTTTAGAGTGGGGATAATAACAATTGGGAAAGTATTGAATGACTTACGTGGTGCAGGTCACAAAGTGTCAAAGATTGTGAAGACCTTGTTCCTGTGTTGTTTAGAGCAGATTGGAAATGGAATAATTGACCTATTGGTTAGATAGCGTCATTTCAATTTCATTAAGTTAGCACGAAAACCAAGCTCTTTTGTTTAGCTGGTAATAATAAAGCTCTCTGTCAGCCTGGCTGCTTTTGCAAATGGCTTTGTGGTTTTAACCATGTGACCGATAGATGATCTCAGTAATGCCAAGTATTCACAGTGTGGAGTCAGATTTGCAACTAGTCATCATTCATAATTGCCACATACTTAGTGTGGAATGAACCGCCGTTCCATCTGACCAATGAACTGGATAATTATGAGTTTCCAAACACTGTTTATTTTGAATTTGCAAATGTTACTGTAATAAACTGTTTTTGCTGAAGATCCTATTTTACAGTTTCAATTTCAGCCCAAAGGTTAATCATGATGTATATTGAAATGTGTCCATCTAAAACAGGGTTGGGGAACCTTTTTCCTCTCAAGGGCCATTTCAATTTTTTCAACACCCTCCGAGGGCCGTACAAATGATTGACCTCTGCTTAAAAACACTAAAATCACAGCCCATTCATTTGGCCTTTCTTTCATGTTGTGCAAAGAAAAAGCAACCTCTGAATCCAGATATTTTACCATAACTCGCATGCATGCACGTGCACGGTGTGGCATGACCACCAAAACAGAAAGATATGGACACAAGATGTGTGCAAATAGTTTCCTTTTTAAGTAGGGGGTGGACCTCACCTCCTCTAGGGGGGTCCGGGGGGCATGCTCCCCTGGGAAGATTTTTTTTTAAATGTTGAAGTTAAAACCATCAATCTGGTGCACTTTGAGAGCAACATGAAGAGATCTATGGATACATCTCTCAACACCCATATGAAACAGAACTGCAAGCAGATTTTTTTCTTTATGGATATTTTACAAATCACTTCCCTTTTAAACTGTATTCTTGTTTATTAATAACAACTTTTTTTTACTGTCATATAGTATTTTATACCTGTTTACTTTATTCTCTTATTTTTTTTATAACTATAATGATCATATAAAGATGTGCCTTTACCTCACTGGTTGGAGAAAAAGCTTCTTATATTCGTTAGCATAGCTAGCTAACCAGATGCTAATAACAACAAAGTTATTGACTGTATGATCAGTACGACAGATGAACAGATTGCCACTGGGCTTTCAACTAAAGACACAGCCACGCAAAAACTGCGGCATGTGTACGGCTCCTTATGGGTACTTTAATTTGTGAAGGCCTGGGCGGCCGTTTTCTTGGTGCTCTCCGTCAAACTACGCTCCTGTCAGCACGAGACATTATTACCACTACCTGATGACACGTTTAGGATCGTGTTTGAGACATATACCAGGTGATGACACGTTAGGCTCGTGTTGTGTTCAAGGACCCTGACCTGGCCAGGAAAAACAAGCTTGTTTAATTATTTTGCGGTCTAGATTTCTTGAATTTTTTTCTTTTTTGCGTGCGTTTATAAATTACCTCGAGGGCCGTACCAAATGGTCTCGCGGGCCGTATACAGCCCGGGGGCCGGAGGTTCCCCACCCCTGATCTAAAAGATCAATCAAATCGAATCAATAAGTCATGGCTATAACTCAGATCCTGAATACTTTACTCCAAGTGAGAAATGATAGTATCTAATGAGATCAGACGTGAGATAACGATAAGGAGAGTAAAGATATGAACTGGGGATTGTTGTCCTCTGTAAAAGCCATCAGGAATCAATCACTTTCCTTGAGGTCTTACACACAGATGGATTTGACTGTGCGGACATGGAGAAATGCTTAATCTCATGTTTGACTTTGCTCACTGCTTTCCTTTTCCTTTATCTCCCGTTATCTGCAGTGAACGGTCAGCCGCGGCCTTTGGAGTCTAGTCAAGTGAAGTATCTGCGCAGGGAGCTCATTGAGCTCAGGAATAAAGTCAACAACCTCCTGGACAGCCTGGAGCCCCCAACCGAGCCGGGCCTGGCTTCTACAGCACCGGACAGTGGTAACCACCCCTCCTACACACACACACACTTTAGAGGTAGACCAAGAAGTCAACCTTTATTAGATTATATCGGTATCGGTGTATATGTTGGCCTTTAGAAGTTGCTGTGCAGAAATGGTTCCGTGTCGTCATTACATAGTTTGTCCACCAGAGAGCACTGACAGATTGATTTTTCATTTGTTAAATGTCCAACTAGGTCACAAATGTAAAGGATCCATATCCTTAGGTTTTTGGTTGGATTTTTTAAACTGGATATCAGTATCAGCCTTTTAGTATCAGTGCTCCTAGTACTAGACTCCTGGTACTAGGATGGGTTAAATGCAGAGAACACATTTCACTGTGTGTGCTGTGTGCTCTGCATGTGTGACCATTAAAGAGGGGTTTCATCCCTCGCAATTCTATCAGCCTTGTAAGAAAACACTGTCTGTTTTACTATAAAAATATGTTTACTTTGCATTTCTTGATTGATTTGCCGAAAGTGTGTTTTAATGGTCGTTACATGAAAACTCATAGCTTCTGAACAGTAATGTACATCAAAGAGCCACACTGTGCCGTCTAGGCTATAGTATATTTTCACATGCATACTCCAGGCAGTCTGATTTGTCTTTGGGTTTTATTTTTTTAGATCACAAACCTTCAGTAAGGTCTGTTATCCCACTGATGGGGATCACTCTTCCCCTGTGACACCCTACCCTGTCAAACCTTTGATCACATGCTGACTGCCAACATTTAAGATCCCACAGGCATACTGGTACCAGAGTGAGACTTGAGTTTATAAGGGTCAGTGATCATGGAATAATTTAACAACTAGCTTTTGTTTGAATATGAACTGGTTTAGTCCAGTTTGATTGTGGGAATACAGACTTGCACACAGACACCCTTTCCATGTGTTATCATAACTGTTGTCCGAGAAACGTTGTGCGGCCATTTTTCATTTTTGTGAGCTGTAACTTTTGAATAACATCTGAATAAGTTATTTGTCTGGAAACAGTAAATGGGGAGTGATCTGTAGTCGGCAAACAGTTGGATTAGTTTTTCTGAGTCTAATGCAGGAGTGTAATCAAGGTCTTAATGAGGCTGTAGCACTCGTACCTTTAGTACTAAATGTTGGTGTTAATGTTTTTTGTTAACTCAAATGATCTCAAAATGTTGCGTACTGTACATGCATTGCCTTGTTGCCAAAATGTGTCTTGGACTCAGCTGGTTCCTAAAGGTCTGTGTTTCTAGATTCAGTGGACGGACGTGAAGGCAAACTGATGGCAGCAGAGCAGGCTGTGAAACACGCCACTCCAGTCAGCGCGGCCAGCATGTCGGCCTTCGACCCCTTAAAAAACCAGGACGAGGTCAGCAAGAATGTCATCTCCGCTTTTGGACTGAGTGAGGACCATGCCCAAGGTATTGCACCTGAGCAAACTGCATCAAATAGAAGACACTTGGCTTTGATACCTTTGTGTTTTGTTTCAGTGTATCGCTGTAACCTTTTTTCCTCATCCTCGTCCGAGCAGCTCCCCCAGCGTCGCTGTCACTAGAGGAGCGTTCAGGAACACCTGACAGCATCAACTCCTCCTCTGCAGCTCCTCAGCCGGTGGCGCCTCCCCAACCACAGGCTCCCTATCCTGGAGTGCAGCAGGGCCCCCCAGCTGCCTTGGATGGTGAGTCACAACCACACACAGCGACTGCCCCATGAAATCCAATATCCCTGTAGGGGAAACTTCTGAAGCAATAGGAGTCAGGACTCAGAGAGACACGAGGAGAGCTGGAGCTTAGATGGCGAACACTGACGGTTTATTTGGAGTTTCGGCCGGAGAATTGACAAAACATGTCACGGGTTGACCACACGTTTGAGATGATCAATTCTGAAGAACTCTACCCCAGACCCGTGCGTTCAGCTAGTTCAGAGAGAATAATCAACATGCTGCAGAACAAGATAGAATCATAACACCTCTATCAGCTGACGCCAACAGGCAGGAACAGGGAGACAGAACACTGAGAGCACAGCAGCCAAGGTTACAGGTGCGTGTGCTCAGTCAGGACAGTTTGAACTGATAAACTGGGTCAAAGTTATGGGCCTCGGAAAATATTTCCCCAACAGATATATTAGAATTTTGCGACCACAGATCAGTAAGTTTGATATTTGCAGGTAAATGTGATTATGGTGCAACAACTTCCTCTCCTTTTTTAACAGGGTATTGCTCCTAGGTTGGAGTTTTCCACCAAAACAACCATCATTGAGTGCCTAGCAGATGCAGAGATGATCATTTACCCCAATATATCCATGGTAAAGAATATATGGCATGGCTCTAACTGCAGAGATGATGTATGATGCATCAAACAGCATCTAACTGCATCTGAAACAACACAAAAACTGGACCAGGTTAGAATTTGTCAGCAGGAGACCAGCACATAAAACCAGTGGCATCAAAGTGTTCTGTTTTTCTTAGATTATTTTAGCAACAATTATAATATGTTTATATTGGATTTTTTATATTTAGCACACATAAATTCCTATAATAATAAAAAACTGCAAATTGGAACTGGCAAATAGCTACCAATGGACCAATGGATGTGCTGACAACTGTAATGGGTTACTTTGATAGTGAAGTAAAACCTGTATGGTTTATTTTACCCGTTTTGTACATATAATGATCTCTTGGAAATAATAGGTCTCAGCGAATCTACAAATATGTGTGCTGTTGTGTTTTCAAATTTAATTGACTAAGGAGTCAGGGAAGAAGTAGTGTGATATTTGACATATGAGGTCACATCAGCTGGTCAAACTTAAATTACCTACTTCCTGTTGTTTTTGGACACAAGTACACAGTCCACTTCCTATTCACCTCACATTTATTTTTCAGTGATATGGTCAGTATGTTCAAGTTAGGAGAAGACAAAAGCTTACAAAACCCTTGCAAATCTCTGGTAAAAGAACTTAAAGGTCCCATGTCATGGCCTGATCATAATTCCATTGTTGAGGTCTACTAGAATAGATTTATATCGTGCAATTTTCCAAACTCACATTGGTTTCTCATACAGCATCTCTGTATAGTGTGTGTATTCACTCTCTGTCCTACACGGGTTGTCGGAGCTCACACTGTCCGCTCCTCACAGCAGCGAGCCTCGCAACGTCCCGCCGTGTGTGTGTGTGTGTGAGGAAGTCCGCGGATTGGTCCAAACGTAACAGCTCCGCGGACGTAACGTCACTATACCCAAATACGTCACTATACCCAAGAAGTAAACAATGGAAAAAGAGAAATCTCCAACGAGGCGTTCTGGGGCAGCATAGACAGGTCTTTTCTGTGTTAGAGTTTTACTCGCTACAGGGTGTACTTTGAGGGTTTGTGACTCTGCAGACATAAAAAGCTACATAACACACAAGGGGACGGGTAATAACCAGAAAAGCATGACATGGGACCTTTAACAACAAGATGTAGCTCCTCTGGTTCTACTGTAGCAGAAGGTTCAACACAGACCGCTCAGACGCCCAGCCCTTCTGTTATTGGTGAACAGAAGTTTTGAAACATCCAATCTTTTTTCCCCAGAGACCACTGATGAAGAGGAACAGGAAACACTGCAGTAGACCCAGGAGCTGCTCTCCTCAGAGGAGACAGCCTCCAGCCCTGGGAAGCAGACGAGGAGTCAGAGCGTCCAGAGAAAGAACCAGCAGGTCACCACCGTTCCTCTGCAGAACCCAGTCCCTGCCCCCCCCACTCACAGCACCTGGCCCGGCTCAGACTGGACTCGGCCCCCCAGCATGTAAGCACTAACAGCACATCTTGATCCCAACATGAACAAATATGTTTTCTTTCATCGCCATCCAGCAGATGGCAGAGGAGTGCTGATCTAGGTCCACACAGCAGTTTTTTCTTGGCTTGTATCTGAAACTAATACCCCTTTCACATTTCTCTTCTCCAATTATATAATGCTTCACCGGTACCAAGGTTGGAGACTCAATAAAAAGAACGATGAGTACAATTTTGATACGATATAAAACAATACATTCAGTCTCATCATCACTAAGAGGTGTGTTGGCGTATATGCGGTGGTGTAATGTATTGAAGTACATTTACTCAAGTTTTTGTACTTAAGTAGGATTGTGGGGTACTTGTACTTTACTTGAGTATTTTTATTTTATGTTACTTCATATTTCTACTCCACTAAATGTTGGAAGCCAATATTGCACTTTTTCCTCCACTACATTTATTTAACAAAATGAGCTACTAGTTACTTTACAGATTCAAATATAAATAAACTATCATAAATAATCATATATATATTCAGCAGTAGTAGATCAAGTAATTCAAATGAACCTTTATCAGCTGTGATGAAGACATTATTGCATCAGCAATCATAATCCAGTAATTTAAGATATTATATATAAGTAAGATTTTAAATGCATGACTTTTCATTTTAACTGAGTATTTTTACAGTGTAGTAGTTAATCATTTTAGTAATGTACAATAATGTACAGTATCATTTAGTATTTACCTGGGACTATTTTCTAATGTTTTGCTCCTGTGGGAGAAAAACCTGACACGGTCCAGTTAGATCAGGTCTCTTTCCACACTCCCTCTAAAACGACAAGTCTCTTAAGTATGGTGTAATATAATATTTAAAAAATATACATCACAAAGTCAGTTAAAAGAGCTGTTCTGCAAAGCAACTTAAGTGTAACATAAAAATCAAAACTCCTCCACAATTATTTTTTCTTCACTTCTTAATTTCACAATCTTTGACCTTACCGGAGTAATTTTTCTAGACATACTAATATCAACCTGTACCTCTCTCCTGCAGGTACCATGCCAATTACTGCATTCCAATGCTGGTGGTCATCCTTTAATGATTTAAGAAATGTGTCTTTATTATCCTACATTCTCAGTCAGCTGCTCGAAAGACACCATACTAAGAATAAGTTAAACGAGATAAAAAAGCAGGAAACAACAGCATTTGGTTTAAATGGTGTTTCTTCTTTTGTGGTAAAAATTAAGTAGGAACAAAACAAAAACTCTATGCCCTCACTTTTAGGTTAAATATCAATTTTCTGATTTTGTTGTAGCATCCAATTTTTTTTTCATTCATTTTTTTCTTTCTTTTAAACAACAAGACACACCATCCCTTACAAAACTTACGACAACAAAACATTAAAATAAAACAAATTATGTGAAAAACAGAGACAAAGAAAAGACATTACAAAAATTAAATCGAAATATAAAATATATAATAAAAATAAGAGACATTAATGAAATTAAATTAATAAAAATAAAATTGGGCAGTAGCAACATTATCCTAAAAAGTGTACATAGTCACAGCAGTTTAAGAAGTACTTTACTTTTCCATTCAACCAGATCGCTCTCATGGATTCCCATTGTTATTTCTTAGCATGTTTGACACATTAACATCGCCTAACAGTTGAGTAAACGGCCCCCAAAGACCTATCATAGGTTTCATTTTTTCTTTTCAGAATATACGTTATCTTTTCCATACAACAACAATTACTCATTTCCCTCAGCCATTGGCCCACATGTGGCCTCTGAGTGTTCTTCCATGACAAGGCAATCGAGCGTTTTGCTTGGAGTAAACACATGTTTATGAGATTCTTTTTATTCTTTGTTATGACTGGGGTGGAGGGGTAAAGTCCCAAAATAAACAATTTAGGATCAAGTGGTATCTTAACATCTAGCATTTTGTGAATTATTTGTGAGATCTCGCACCAGAAAGTTGCAATCTCTTTGCACTCCCACATGCAGTGAAAAAGTGTCCCTTTAGACTGTTCACACTTAGTACATATATCTGGAATGTTATTATTAAACTGATGTAATCTCACAGGTGTTATGTACGTGCGCATCAACCAGTTGTGTTGTAGCAATCTTAATCTGGTATTCACAGTTTGTCTATGTGCCTCAGTACATATCACACCCCAGTCATCCAAGGAAATATCCTCCTGTATATCATCCTTCCAGGCGTTAAGCCGGTCGGTAGAGGATTCAGTGGAGTTAAAAACCAACAAGTTATATAGCACTGAAATAAGCCTTTTCCCATGACAATTATCAGATATCAATCGTTCCAGTTCAGAAAGTGGTGGGGGAGTTAATAACTGTTTGCGGGATGCCGTTATAAAGCTTCGTACGTGTAAGTATTTATAAAAACTGCTATTTGAAAGGCCAAATTTAGTACGCAACTGTTCAAATGACATCAACGTTTCATCTTGAAACATATCTCCTATTTTTGTTAGACTTTCGTTGCCCAATGATGAAACCTTTGGTCCATTCTTCCTGGTTGAATGCTCATTTCCCCAGATTGGGCTAAAACGGCGACATTGATGATTTTTCCCCCAGCACATCTGAATTGTATACCAAACATTGATCTTATTCAATACAAATGGGTTAGATTGTGTTCCTGAGCTTTTTAACATTGGCAGAATACATGTATACAATCAATTTAGGGTAAGTGAAAGGCTATGTCTACCACGCTGGGACTGGGTCGGCGGGAGAAGTAATACATTATGCTGCGTAATTGGGCAGCCCAGTAATACCACTGGAAGTTAGGAAGTTTGGAGTCCTCCTCTGTCATACGGCCTAAGATTATACATAACGTAGCCCTGTGTCTTCTATTATTCCAATGAAATTCGAACAAGTTTCCTCAATTTAGTGAAATGCGATAGTGGCCAAGGTACAGGTATGTTTTGGAAACAGGTACAATAGTTTTGGAAGGATATTCATTTTCAGTATATTTATCTCGCCCTATTAAAG